AAAGTCGCCGATCAGTATGGAGTGAAACGAGAGACGAGAGAGTTGTCGGTCGTAAGCAGAGTAGAAGCAGAAATCTACTTCAAAGTCTGGATGAATAGAGTAGGCTCGCAAGGTAGATGGGAGCGGTGAGGCGGGAACGGGGATGGTATAAGATAGGATGATTTAACGTAGGAGTGATGGGAAGTAAGTACCCCGGAGGAGACAAGGAAGGCAGAAAGTCGGAGCGTTGACAAGGATGTATGAAGATGGCGGAGAGATAGGAAGGTATACCGGGAGATTTACAATAAGAGATGGAGGAGGATAGGGAATGAAGGGAATCTACCGAACGGAAAGAAGGGGGGAGGGAAGTAGGAGTCAGAGGCGAGACAGAGAGCGAGAGCGAGAGAGTTAAGTTAGAGATGATGTGATGAGGAAGAGGAAAGGCGGGAAGGGGAAGCAGGACCCAAAGAACGGCTGGAGAGCGTGACCTTGCGATAAGATGACCCGGGAAGGCGGTCAGAAGGGCGGCGATAAGGTGCAGTCTTCTGTCTCTCAGTCGTCCCTTCTTTCCACTGATCGGCACGCATTCTGGCACTGGCACTCTGGAGAATGCACTTCCCCCATACAGTGTCAGTACCACCAGTGTTGGCAAAAGAACAAACAAAAACACCGACAGACCTAGACTCCTCACAGGAACTAGTAGGTGCACAAGGCCGTTGGGAAATGCTACCACCGTATCTAGGGGCCCCTGCCAGGCCAATGAGGCCGGAAGGGAAGGCCGTCTACCTATCAAGTGTATCAAGCTATCAGATGGCGGTAAACGGGCGATCCAATTGCTGGCCGATTGTCGATCGTGTAATGCACCCGACCCGTGACTCATGATCCCTTCCTTAGTCACTCGCTGCGGCCATGACATCAGGTTTCAAACGGAGATGGTCATTCACTCCTGTCCAATCCATGGGGAAACTGGCGAGGAACAGGATCAAGATCGGATCGGGATCTTGATCTTCTGCCTTTCGTCCCTTGCCACTACTGCCTGACGCCGTACCCACGACTGCAGAAAGGGGTGATAAGATCATAAGCTACGCGGCAGTGGATACGCCCATACGCCGGAAGTTTAGCTCGGCGGGGAGGCGATCAACAACGCGGTTGGCCCTGGTTGGCCCATGACCCCGGGGAATCGCTGCTGGACGCTGGTACGTTTGTCCATAGTCGACTGCAGCCCAACGTGACGACCTCGTGCGCCATCACAGCCTCGTCTGACGCTACGTCGAGGTTCGCTTATGCGGTGACCTGTCCCTCGAGATGATGACTCCTGGATCAATCAAGAATGCTATTTTCTAGGTAAATATTCCACACGAAGGATAAGGTACTTGATGGTTCATCCCCGTACAATACACTCACTCCAACCCCGTTCAGTCTCTCGGCTTTCTAGACGGTCTAGAACTATAAATAGAACAACAACAATAATAAAATGCAATCAAAAGAACAAAGATGGTCGGTGGACCCGGCTCGCTCAATGCATCATCAATCAAATACTTAAGAATCAATCACTGTACCCGGGGGATGTGTAAAAAAGAAAAAAACCACAGAATCGAGAATGAGATAAAAAAAAAAAAAAAAAAAGAATAGATAAACTCTCACACTCCCAGTCCTCGGACCAGCAGCCACAGAATAATCGGCACGACGACGTTGTCGTTGCACCCGGTCAAAATGGCCTCCGTGGCGCTGGTGCCTGCAGCCGCAAAGGCCGCCTTGAGCAGCGTCGCCAACCAGCCATAATGGGACTCTCCGTCGCTTCCACTCACGCCCCATTGGCCCACGACCAGCCAGGCCCGCGCAAACATCAGTCCACTAGTCACGGCGACCGCAAAGGCCACGCTGCCCTCGAGCGATTTTCCTCCTCCCCAGAACCATTTCAGTCGCCCGAATCGCCGACCGATGAGTGACGCGGCCGCATCCCCCATGCCGACGCAGATCACGCCGCTGACCATACTGACATCGCGAGTCACTACATCCCATCCCGTTAAGGGGCCATCGCCCGTCCGGGAAACGTCGGTCAGCGAGAGCCAGAGGGGAATGGAGCATCCGATGAGAAGGAAAATATGGGAGACGATGACGGGTCCCCGATGGTCGCGCCCGTCAACGTAGGGAGCCAGAAAGTAGGTCAACGGTCGGGAAATGGGCGGGAGCTGAGAGGCCCGGAAAAGATCAAGTAGAAGGAAAATGGCGAGCACCAATCCCAACGCAAGGGCGCAGAAGGTAGGGTCGACGAAGACGGTCGGCAAAAACATCAACACCATCATTCCATGGAAGACTTTACGTCTGGTATCGACTTCAACGACGGCGCTGAGCTGAAAGACTACGCCCAGACCGGTCAAAATGACCGCCATGCAGTACGCAATAATGAAAAGACGTGTGTTGGCCTCCCCAAAGGACCATTGTCGAAGGTGCTCCACCCATCCTAAAGAGCAGGTCGCATGCAGGTCGCTGTCCGGACGTGCGGGGAGAACAATCCAGTTCTCTAGATTCCCCATCACCACCCAGAACCGAAACCAGGATACGTTGCCAAGTAAGTATCCGAGGGCCCATCCGAACGGTTCGGCCCCATGCAGCGCCCGTTGGCCCACGTATTTGCGGACCGGGCCTAGAATGATGACCAGCACGGCGAAGTACACGTAGAGAGCGTAAAGCCACTTCCGCACCTGCGCTTGAGGTACTGTCAAGGATAGGAAGGACGCCAGTCCCGGGGCCATGGAACGCTTTCGTCGGCCGCTGGGAGTAGTCCTAACCCGCTCCGAGCGCGCGGCCTCCTCCAAGGTCGAGATAGTGTGCCGTCGGCGGCCGGTGGCCTGGGTCTGTTGTAGATTATTGTCCTTCGTGGGCTCTTTGCCGGCTGCGAATGGGTGCTGTCCGGACGAGACCTTTTCCCGCAGCTCATGCGTCGTCCTGCGAGAGATCGGTGACATGCGACTATCAGGCGAGTCGCTGTCCGACATGAGCTCCTCCGAGGATCCCGTTCGGCTGAGCTTCTGACAGAGCTTGTGGTCGATAATATTGAGGATGTTCTTAGGGGTTTGTGAGGCGCTGGGAGAACGTCGGAATTTCCAGCTGGGGATTCGGGCCAAAGCCACCTCCCAGCGAAGGGTCTGTCGACATGAAATAAAAGTACAAATGCTTCCGAGCCATAGTAACGCCTTGAGGATCTCGGCTTGGGGGGAGACCGCAAATAGAAACAAATTAATGAGAGCAGTGGTGAGAAGCTGGAGTTCTGCTGGAAGAACACTGGAAGTCAACAAGAAATCTAAAGTGGGTATCAACGCTTGATGCAAAGGGAAAACAAGAGTCAAAAGTTCGGAATTAAGGCCGCGCAGGCTCAGAGGCAGGGGCACGGTGCTGTCCAACGAGAAATGCTCTGAGATAACTATCGGAACCAGCGTGACGATCCAATGCGCAACGCTGTCGCCATGCGTCCACTCATGTAATGGGATGACTGTGGCCGGTAAAGAAGAAAGGCTGAGGAGAATGTTCGGTAGTACAAGGACGGTGTTTTGATGGGATAGAGACAAAGAGACGTAGACGGGTATAAAGATCGGATACAACAGCGGAGCAGGATCGAACGTGGATGGGATGATAAAGGATGATAGTTTGGAGAAGCACATTCGTCCAGTTTTGGCAAATGGATAGGCCGCGTATAGTCCGGTGACGAGAAGGGCGTGGGTCAGGAGCTCTGCAAAATGGGAAGTCAGTAGATGCGACAAACAACGACCAGCGGTATTAAAATGAAAGAGAAGAGAAGAAGACAAATTGAGACCGCATAGTAGAACAGTCGAACAGTAGAATCTCCGTCCGTACATACCTTTCTTCCACGTCCAAGCGAGCGACCTGGCACTCTCCTGCCCCAGAACAACCGCGCCCACGGAAAAGAGCAAGCCCGCCTCCAACAATCGTCGCAGGATCTCAATGCGTCGCCTTTTGTTGACCTTCTTGCGCAGCTCCGTCACGCCCGCTTCCACCTCCTCGCTCGAACTCCGCTGCGAGCTCCGGGATGCAGACCGCACAAACGAAGGCCACGGCTGCAGCACCGGTAACCACTGATCATTCTCTGCGGCACCATTCCAGCCGGAGCGCAACCCCTTTCGCGGTCGCAGAGGCGGCGCCGGCAAGCCTTTTAGTATCCCCGTACTCTCATCATCGGCCTCAGTTCCGCTGTCGCTGGACGTCCGCGGCCAATGGGGATGTTGTGAGCGGTCGCCGGGTTCGGTAGGCAGCAACTGCGGGTCGGGACAATTCAAGCCTTTTCGATGATACGGGTGAGGCGACCGGGAGAAATGTCGAGGATGACTCGAGGAGGGTGTCCCGGGTGAGGCGAGATTATTGCCAGGAAGCAATCCCTCTTCTTGCGGGCGCGGCGAAGAGGCCATGGCCCCATGGGACGGTATTTTTGTGTTTTGACGGAGCGAAGGACGGGTTCACAGCGAAATGTACGTCATATCGGAGAAGGACAGCACGTAGGCAGGCACACACTCTAGAACCAAGATCGGAGATCAGTAAATTAGGGGGAAGATAAAAAGACCCGATGCAAGGCAACACGAGGAAAAGACAGAGACTTACCCAGCAGCGGAACGACAGTAGGGAAGGAAGGCAGGTAGTGGCGTTGTTGATCTTAGCAGCTGTTGGCTCGCAGGCGACGGAAGCGGGTTTTTTTCGCTTATCACATGCTCTCACGCCCGCCTGAGGCCTGGACATCTACCCATGTCTTCCTTTCTCTCGCCTCTCTTGCCTCTCTTGCGTCTCGTCTTACCACTCCTCCGGGCAGCCCAACAGATTCCCAACGCCAAAGACTTGGCTCCAGTCTGTGCCCTACATGGGAATCCCCTACAAACCTCCAGGGCTATACATGCAGCCCGCTTATCGTGGCTCCCAGGGCCAATCATCTACAGCACGACTGGTCTAGTCCCGCGAACAATGCGATGTCCCCAATGCATACGCAATAAGCTATCTCTATCTCGCTATCTATTTTACCTTTTCTGTATAAGTATCCCCGCTGCCAGTCGTCTTCCTTGTCGGCCCCAGACCGACTTGCATGGGACGATCTGTCCGGACCAAACACCGCTGCGCAACGGTTGCGCAGTGTATACGACGGTGTGGATGTTTCCTGGCCGCTCGGAATTCATCTTCAGGACACCCCGCAGGCTGGACTCTAAGCTGGGTCCCGACTGGTCCAGGTCGATTTCAATGGCCGTGTAGCGCATGCCCTCCTTCGACGAGGCGTCAATTCTGCGCCCCAAAGCTGTGTCCTCCCTGGCCAAGTTGACTTCGTCGCACCGGTATCCCAGACCTTGCCATTCAATGTCACTGCCGCGAGGCAACTCCTCAATCTGGACGGCGAAAAAAGCAGGAACCAGGACGTCTGACTGCACCACCGAAAAGTTAGGCAGTGTGGTGGTTGCTGCGGCACTCTGCTGCTCATGTGCGCGGCCTCCGTACTTGATGTCCCAGGCATCCAGTGCTGACTCCTCGTCCTCGTCGTCCTCTTCTTCTCGTCGACTATGCATGGTCTCCCACAGGTGCCACGCGACTGCCGCCTTTTTGTCTATCGCGTCTGCTCCCGATAGGAAGGCCACGGTTCCTAACCACCAATCGACCTGGTTGGCGCTGCCGATTCTCCACAGATGCTGCAAAGACAGCACAGCTCGCAAAACGTAGTTCTCAAACCACGATGATTCTGGTCTAGGAGATGCACTCGGGAGTTCCATCGAAGCCGGCTCCAGAGGAATCTGACCTGCAATGTACACCAGTCGCTCTGCTCCTTGCCAGGGAATCGACATGGCCTGCGAATACGGTCCGATATTGGCGGGAGCCCAGTATGACCGCGATTGAACATGGAGTCCCAGGCGCAGATCTCGCGATCCTAAATCCACCACCAACGAGACCATCACCTTCACTCCGTCCGGGAGACTGTCGCCACAAGCGACGGTGGCCCTAGCAGGGGGGTTGGGTTTCTTGAACAGTGAGACGTAGATGTCGTTCATCGACGGGAAATCAGTCATAGACCGCAGTAGCACCGTAGTAAAGACAATATCTGCCGTTGTTCGCGCACCAGACCCAGTATCATGAACGGTAGAGTCCAGGATATCCCGGATCTTCTGTGCAATGGCACCCATCTGCTCAGCGGCACCAGGACCAGCCTCTGGCGCCGTGATGTTGGAAACCGTCCATGTCCCCCGGTTCGTCGACTGCGACACGCCAGGACACTCCCAAGGGCCCGTTTCTGTTTGATCTGCCATCTCCATCGTAGAAGCAAGCGACGACTCCGCCGACACGGCATCCAAAGCTGCCGCGAAGTCCTCATCCAGCAAAGCCGGCCGCCTCACATCCTCCGGCTTCACATCCCCCTGCTCCTCCTTATCCACACACCTCGCTCCCTTCAACCTCATAAACCCAACACCCCCATCCCCGGACCTCACCTCCCTCTGCTGAATCTCGATCCTTTGCTTCCACAAGAACCCCGGCCCATCCAACGCCAGGCTCTCATACTCCCCACCCTCCCCCAGCACCGCACCCCGAATATCCTCCGCGTCCGCAAACCTCTTCATCCCCTTCGCAATCCGTCTCCGCAGCGCTCCATCCGCTGACGAAACATCCCCCCACAGAAACCCCTCATCCAGACCCCCCGACGCCACCTTGATCACTCTCGCCTCGCACCCCACAGCCGCCATATCCTCCAACAGCCCCGCGTCAGCCACATGCGGCATCATGGCCGACAGTTCCGCGCGCTCCCCCGGCGCAGGAAGACTCGGATACTGCCACAGCCAAGCCAGCGGCACGAGGCCCAATCGCGCCGCTACATTCTCGATCCGCGTGCGCTGGTACGTCGAGAGGATCGCGCCGGCTGACACGGCGTTGGCTTCTGGATGGGCGAGCTTGATGCGTCGAAGAAGTGGGATCAAGGATTCGGTCTCGTCTTCCCCTTCCCCTTCGTCTTCCCCTTCCGCCATCTGATCCATCGCATCCTCACGATAGACTCTCGCGGTATCGACCGCCCCGCCGGTGATGGGGGCCCTGTACAACGGAATCCCCAATGCGGACTCATACAGCGGAATCACATTATGACCGATGGTTTGGTACATGAAGCTGTCGATGTCATCCTCCTCCTCCTCTACCCCCTCTGCTTGCGAACTGTCATTGCTGTCATCCTGGCAATCTCCACTGGCGGATTTCTGCTGCTTCGGCGCGGGATGCAGATTCCCTAACGCGACCACGTTGTGTCCATTGCGAAGACAGTGCAGGATAGAGTATAGAGAGTCTTTCCCGCCAGAGATGAGAGCTATGACGTTTAGACCTGGCGTGTCTGAAGAGGAAGAAGCAGGCATCGTATGATAGGAGTATGAAAGGACAGGTAAATACAATGGAGATCAAGTTAATTTGGGTACTTGATTGATTGATTGAGTTGGGTTTGTTTGAAGGGACCAAATGAGGGCGGTGGGGTGATAAGGATGAAAAAAAGAAAAATCACCCCCTCGTGTTCGATCAGCTCTTCCGGTAGATAAGATGGAATACGAAGGTTGGATTGATAAAGTAAGGCTGATGGGAGGGGATATATGGGCTGGGAGTGTAATTAAATGACCATGATGTGGTCGTGATTGGGGTAGAGAGAGAATTCTTAATGAGTACTTGCTTGCGGGGAGAAAAGATTAGATGTGCAGGTCTTCGAAGATTCCATGGGACGGATCTGCCCGAACTTCAGTTCATCTTGTCCGCCAGCACCTTCAAGTCCCTCTCTTGTACACACGACTAAAACAAATAGTATTTACGACTACGTTTGTGCATCTACAATCTACTCTTTTGGAAAAGAAATATTCACAAATCCTCAATTATCACACTACTTATGCCGCAAACGAATGGTACGCTCAACATTGAATAGCAGACAGGGGAATAATTATGCACAGTGAGATAAACCACAGAACAAATGGGGGGTGGATAAAACACAAGATCAGACAAGGAAAAAGGAGATAGATATGCGCACAGGGGTATGAGGCAACGATTGGGGGAGATCGGAATTAAATTATACATGTGGCCAGCACAAGAGATGAGTTGGATGCGAGATGGAAAAGATCAAGCAAAACCAAACTCAACAAAAAGATTAAATCGAAATAAGGACACAAGAATGGGGTGAACGAGAAGTATGGATAGAGAAGAGAAAATGATGCGAAGGTAAGAAAAAAAGGGGGGAGTACATGAAGTCCCAGGATGGTCAGTTGATCAGACTTTGGATTCAACAGATCGATCCATTCCAGGGGAAGAGGGGGTGGAATGGTGTGTGAGATGTGCAAAGGAAAAGGAAAAATGCAAAGACAAAAAAAAAAAAAAAAAAAAAGGAAATTGGACAAAAGCAAACAAAACCCCAAGTCACCGTCCTTGTCTCGAAATAATAGGAGACATATGCGTTCTATGATTTTAGGCCAACCATGGACTCCAGAGTGCGCCCAGACAGCCGGTCTATTGCCTCCAAATAAAAAGAAAATTGCCGGGAATTCGCCGACCATGATACCTGTATAATTTTGTCTTCTCTGCCAGCCGTGAGGAAAGACTTGATGCCGTACACCGTTCCGTCACCGCCAGTGTGAATGCCCGGACGCCGAATCGCAAAAGAACGATGAGTATCCAACCCGAGGGTTGGAATGATTATGTGTATAAATATTAGTTTATAAGAGGATGCTCCTGGTCTCATTTCATCGTGATAAGCTGCAAGCAGGGAACGCAAAAAATTCAGAATGATTTAAGCGTTCTCCTCACGCTTGCGCTTCTTGGCGGCACGTCGGTCGACGGACGTGGTCTCAGAAACACCGTCGTCGGATTCGCTAGTGGTCGACTTCGCGGCAGCGTTGGCAGCTTCGTACAGCACTGCTCCCAATGTACTGGGATCACGCTCATCGAACGAGCCACGCTGGGAGGCATCAAGAACGCCCATCACCATCGATCCGCTGCCGTGGGTACGGGCGTGCTGAGCAAGGTTGTCACTGCGCGAGAATTTCTTGCCACACTCGTTGCATTCGAAGGGCTTGTCCTGGGTGTGGAGAGACCGGTAGTGGCGCTTGAGGTGCTCCTGGCGACGGAAGCGACGCGAGCACAGGGTGCAGACGAACGTCTTCGAGGGGTCGTCGGTCAGCGACTGCTTGCGGCCGCGACGGTTGACCGACACGGGCGCGGAGGGAGCCTCGGAGGGGCTGGAAGCATTGACTTCCGAGTTGCAGCAGCCGTCTGCCGAGTGGGTCGACGAATCGGCACTGCCGGAGCGAGCGCTGACCGAAGCGTGGGCCTTCTTGCCAGCCTCGTCGGTCTCCGACTTCTTAAGCGACTTGCGTCGCTTCATGCTCATTTCGGTGGAGGCTTCGCTAACGCTGCTGGGGTATCCAGTGAACTCGGAGCTGTCCAAGGTGGGGAGTCCAGACAAGCTCGGGTCCTGGTCATCCGACTCATCCAGGCTCTCCTCGCTCAGGAACTCGTCCTCGTACTCGTCAAGCGAGTAGGTGCTCATGCGCTGGCGCTTCTCGCCCATGTAGAAGGCGTTACCGCTGGGGTGGAAGTCGACGAGGCGGTTCACGAACTCGTCTTCCGAGTCCAGGTCAGAGAAGCTGTCAAAGGTGGGCAAGGTACTCAGGGGATCCTCGGTGCAAGAAGTGAAGCAAGGCGACGGGTTCTCATGGATTGGCAAGGTCACAGCCTCGTTGGTCAGGACGATCTTGGGCTCCTCCTCATCGCAGCCAAGAGCAGGCAGCGGGGGAAGATCGCCAGGGGTAGCGGCGTTGATCGTCGACTCAACGGTCAGCTGGCGCGGGTCGCAAAAGTGGGAGTTCGACTGTTCCACGGGAAGACCCGACTGAGACTGGGCGAGCATGTTGGAAACTGGCGGCGGCGAGGGGGAAAGAGACGGGCAGGAGCTGTTGGCAGACAGGATATCGGAGCTTTGGCTGGCAGTGAGAGAAGGGGGGTGAATAAACACTAGAAATGTGGTTCAGTTAGCCCTGATTCCTTGATCATCTTTCCGACTCTTGCTATCATGTTTCCTTACCAGGCGTCATGGGAGGCGACGCAGACCGGGTCCAGTCAGCGTTCGCCAGGAGTTCGGCGTGGACTTCGCCTTCGCACCCCTCTTTCACGCCTTCAACTTTCTCGAACGCAAAGAAGCTGTCCTGGAGCGGGGTATGCAGCGTACCGTTGGTCGACGGCGGGCTGCTGATCGAGCTTCCGGCAGTGGAAAGAGGGGGGGTAGAAGGGAAAGCGTAGTAGTCACTGCTGACGAACCGCGTGTCCAGAGGCATCAGAGTCGAACCCTGCTGGGCAACGAAAGCAGTCTTCATGTGGGATGGCTGAGGAGAGGCGACGGGGGTCATGTTCATGGCACCCCGGAATGCATTCGTGGTAGCCATCTGGTGCATGTTGAGCATCGGTTGCGTGTAGATGGGTTGCTCTGGAAGACCGTGCTGCGGGGGCTGCTGGTAGGCCTGGACCTGTCCATAGTACGGTTGCATGTCGGATGGGTGACTGGTGAAATGTTGCTGTTGTCTCGGTTGCGAGTCAGCAGCCGGGTAGTATGCAAAAGACGGTTGTCCCGTGGGAGCCATTGTGTATGTTGCGTCCATTATTGGCGATCACTAGAACTCTAGACAGCGGTTGAGTCAGCTATCTTCTTCCCAAGCTTGGATCGGTTTTTCGAAGGGTGCAACACTAACAGGTGATGAGATGTTTGAGGATTGGGCGAGAGTAGAGTTGACTCTACTCTCTGGGGGTAGATATTAAGTATAGTATAGTAAGTAGTGTGTGGTGCGTCCGAAGTGTTAAATGCTCTGGTTATATCCTGAGCAACAGGCAATCGACGATGTGAAGGAATGTATATAGTGTCTCTTGATCTTGGGATGAAGGAATGACTGAAGAGGGAAGTACGAAATAGGCTATCGTCTTCCAAGCTTCGCTGAAGGGGGGTGGTTCTCTTGCTATATCTGCTAGATGTGGTTGGATTCTGTGAAGGAAGGACAGGGACCAGTGTTCGACGATACGAGCCAAATCATAAGATGGGATGATTCGGGACGTTTCTTCGATCTCGGTACCGGAAGACAGATGAGTCGCAAGTAGTTAATGAGTGAGAGAGAAAGAGAGAGAAAGATAGAAGAGCGAGAGACGTGGGAAATGAGGGAACTAAGAACTAAGACCGAAAGACCAAAAACATATGAGAGGAAAAGGAAAAGGAAGGGAATGGCAAGATGATGATCGAGACAAGTCTAAAAAGGGAATTATAGAAAAGAGAAAAATAAAAGACTAAGAAATAAAGAAGATTAAATCGAAGGGCAAGGACAGTCGCGGGGAAAAAAAGAGAGACGAGGCCGATATGGGAAATGGAAGAGGGAAGACGGCCAGAAGGATGGAGCAGTGGATAAAAGAGTGAGGTGATCTGCCTGTGCTACGGAGGTAGCGCCATGAGTAGTGAGCAGTAGGAATGGAGCCGTACTTTTTAGCCTGAGAGTCTTTTCGGGAGAGAGAATAATGTGAATGGATGGCGGGTGGTGCATGCGCCCATCAGGTACTGATTTGCCATGCTGCCAATGGTGGTGCCAGAAAGAAGATTCCCCATGATCAATTTGTCCTGCCCCAAACCGTATGGTGTAATGAATTTTATTTTCATCTATTTATTTTTATTTTCATCTATTTTTCGGATTTTTGATTTTCTTTTTTTTTTATTTCCTGTTTTTTTTTACTTTTAGATTTTTGATTTACGTTTGTATTCTACTCTGTATTCTTTCCCTCCAAAAATTACAGGGTCCTAAAAATTGCTCCTGATCGATTCTCCAGAATTTGTCTTTCTGCTGGACTTGACATGAAGACTGACTTCCTTTTTTTTTTCTATGATTTTTGGTCAGTTTCTCCCAGTTCGTCGCATTGATTAATATCTCTCCAGACAGTTTACTCCGTACACCCTCACACCCTGGTTAAATTTGGGTAGTATAACTCCCTAGCCCGGGACGGGACAAGAAAAACAAATTGGCGCCGGTGCACATCTCAGTTCAAACCAAGCCAGTTGGAAAGTTTAGTCGTTGTAGGAGGTGGGACTCTTCATCATCATCATCATCATCATCATCAGAGCAAGCAGCGAAGAGTCCCCGAATGTTAGCGAAGGGGGGAAGATCACAGGAAATCAAAAATCAAAAATCAAAAATAAAATAAAATAAAATGGGTGATGCCATTTCTCCATTGGGAGGACCGCGAGAGAGAGAGAGAGAGAGAGAGAGAGCCAAGGAGAGAAAGAGATACTCCGTCAAGAGAGAAAAAGATGGGGACTGGAGTAGCGATTGGAGCCAAACCCAAGAGGAAGGCAGGCGTGGTAGGATCCGAGCTAGAGCGGCCCAGCGAACGAAGGACGAGCAAAGCGACCCCACCCGCCCTCGGCGCGGAGCCCAAAATGGTGCAAGTTGCGTGGGGCGCATTTGAGAGCACGAGTGGGCTCTCTTTTTAGGTGTAGTGTGTACACACTCTGTACTCATTAGTGTACACGGAGTACTACGCTGTACGCTGACTGGCCTGTACCATACTACTCTCTCTGGCCTCTGGCCACTGACCACCCATGGGCTGGCAGACTGGGGCGGCCTCTCCCATGGTCAAATTGGTACCTGCGTAAAGTTACCACGTACCCTGTCTGGTCCTCTAACCGGGCCAGCCACTGGTAAATGCGGAGATGGGTCCTCCCTCTCAATAGCGATGGCATAATAATGGGATGGGCGTGGGATCGTCCGGCTTGACCATTGTTCACCTCACTGACCGTCCGCCGGTTCAGGACTCATGGCCTACGACCGCGTGGCCGGGATGGGAGCCATGATGGTGCAATTGATATTATTCATATATATTGGACTTGAATCTTGACGGTCTCCGTGGTAGGTAACGGAGTCGGTACGACCAGTATCGGCGTAGGGCAGGCGGATGTCTCAGGTCATTCAATCATTTTGAAATTTGCCCTCTCTTAAAATTATATTATATTATATTATATTATATTACATTACCTGATGGATGTCCGGTCTTCTCATTGGTAATAAGAATAAGTATTGAGCATCGCACATTGATTGACTAATAATGGGCTGTGAATCGCCACAGTTCATCCGAGACTAGGTAGGTAGGTCTACGGAGTTCTCAGTATGTGTTATGATTGTTTATCGATTCCCTCTATTTGATGAATTTGATTTTTTTTGCGGTCCCAAAATAGCTCCAACATTTTGATTGCCCAAAAACCCTGCTAGTCAAACTGCATTCCCTTCCACCCCTCCATCACGAGATGACCACCTTCTGCCTGTCATTCGCGCGCGCGTGCAAGTGTCTGTTCACTCGTACGCCATCCATCCATCGAGGGCGAGTTCATGGATGGATGGATGGAATTGCCATGCATTGGATCGCACGGAGGAGGGTGGTATGGTTCAGATGTCGGCAGTCCTATTGCCAATGAGAGCGCGCATCGCACTTTTAGGGCCTATCTGGCTTATCAGCCCGGTTGAACAAATCGGGGGCCAGTCATGTTATGCGAAAGAGACGCAGAAGTGGGGGCCTTTTTGTCTACCTAGGCGGGGCCGGAACGCCGGAGGGTTGGTTGGCGTATCTTAGGACTAATAGTGTAGCTGCAGTAGTAGGCAGACAAGAAACATTGGAAAACAGCGAGCTTTACCTTACACCGTACAGAAATTACTTGACTAAATTTCTCTCCAATGGATTCGGGGGGCCTGATAGGCCCTGCTGGCTCAAGCCGGCGTGACATTTCAAGCGAAATGTAAGACTTTGGGGAGGGGCGTGTGGTGCACCGGCGCTGCAGTGAGGACCAATAGCCTCTGTCTCTGAATGGGAGGGATTGACCTGCCGGCTAAGCTAGTCGGCCCCGCTGAGCGTCCCGTCCGCCATTTGGGGGAAGGGAGTCTTTTCCCGGGAGTGTGAGACTGAGAGTCTGAGAGTCTGAGTCTGAGTCTGAGAGTGTCTGTCTGGAAGGGAAAAAGTGAAAAAGGAAAAATAAAATAAAAATAAAACTTACTTCAGCAGCCATGATCCACTCGACTTACGGAGTACCCTAATTTTCGTATTTGCTTTTTTTTTTCTTTTTTCTTTTTTCTTACGTTGGTCAAGGTACCGGGCCATACCTCATCGTACAGTAAGATCAGCACGCAAGACCTTGAATTGTGAATAGAGTGACAGGACAGCCGGTCAATCAGAATCATTTTCCCCGTGTTGATGCGCTGCCAACCCGAATTTTGGTCGCCAGACCTGGATTGGTGGTCCTACTTGGTCTGTGCCACAAGTCATATCGCCCTGTACCTTCCTTAACTTACGGTCGAGGCTTGAGGGGGACCTTCCCAAGAGGGAAAAGCAAAAAATTGAAGTCCTCAGTAGATCAGAGAGGGCCGCATCACCAGTGGCAATTACTGACCAGGCCCGGCGTACGACGGAGTACACAGTGTAGGCCCTGTTACCCTAGGAATTCCTCGGAGATGGTAAAATTCGAGAAGAGACGCTGGAAGAAATTATCCAAACCAACGGTGAAACGCTCCTGATTAGGCCCACTTCACCGTGGTGGCATGGTGCTACTACGGATACTACGACCTCATAGTACTTTAGGGCAGGTACTAGAGTGCAATCCTGCATCCATATTGACGGGGATTATACTGAGACTACGCTTCATTCATATGATCCTGGTCGTTTACAGAGACTAATAGTGATGGAATCATTGACGACTGTATTAATGCCGAGACCTAAATTTATGAAACGGCTTTGCCTCTGATCCTGCCCATCGGACTGCTGCTAAGGAAGTTATAGTTCATGAAAGTATTGAACCTTAGTACGGGTTCCCATTAGCCAGCACCCATCCAGCCAGAGGGCAGAGATCCATTCCCGTGCATAATACGCCTCTCCCTAATTCTTGCCTCGATTGCCCTACCGTTCACATGCAGTTATAGGTATATTATTTCATAAAGTGGTTTCCGGGGAAAGAGCAGTAGTGAGGTTGACTAGAGATGTATCAACCAGCTCGCCGGGACAACCCAATTCCCAGCCCCGGAACCGGAAGCAGCATAAATAAAATTAGACTTTATGGTAGGGTGATGCGCCTCCAAATTTGGGATCCCGAGCCACCGAAACCCATAGTGCTATGTACCTTCCACCTTTGGAACAAAGAAAAACAGAACCATCGGTCGGCTGGGTGGCCGCTCACATTTGAGATTCGACCTGTTCAACGGCGGCTGGATCGATCAGTTTTTTGTCACCGTCGCTTTTCCCACTTCTCGGCCTACTGCAGGTACCAATGCGGAGAAAGTGTGTATGTGCCGACTTGTCGGAACAACATCCTGTCGCCCTTGCTTGGATCGGACTCTGTTCGGATGGACGGTTACACAAGACGCACCGAACATTGCCACAGCTGTCAGAATTGGATTTCCTGCAACCTCGTCTCTTTGCGAAAGAAGCGAATGTTCAGTTTCTGTTCTGGCTACTTTGGAACCCAGTCCACAAATCCACCCTCTCAAATCCACCCTCTCATGGGGTGGATTTGTCTCGCCCACATGTCGTTTTCATTTGATGTTTCCAATTTCGAGGGTTTGATTGGCACCCATCTGCAAGCCATCTA